CCCTTATCATGTGTGATAATAACAGCCAACCTACAGGTTAATCGGATACACAGCTTTCAATGGTTGAACCATTTTATTTGGATTTGGCTCTGAAATGCGTTAAGGAAAGTGTCATTTGGACTTTAAGAACAGCGATATATGGCACAATCATCTGTTAAACTCAGACCTCGAGGGTGCGGTGAGGCTTCTGGGTAATGGACGTGTGATTAAGTGCTCAGTGTGACATCATTATAGTCACATGCACTCGCGGTCTCTTTATGTTGCAGAAATTCACATGGTTTTTGTTTTAATTATCCCTCTTGCTCATGTATGGCTGATTCTTTTATAAACCTGCTGAGAAAATGTTTTATCGGTCCTGTGAGATTTGATTTATCCTCTAATTGGGATTTCCCATTATTATTCCAACTTTAAGAGCCTACGGGGTCATATGAAGAGAAATCAGATTTCCATTGATTGAAAGAGTTTGACGTATTATGGTATTACTTTCACAGCTCCTTCCCAGATTAGAAATAGCTGCAAAAATTACTGAACTTCCAGGTAATAAAAGTACAACTCAAAAAAAAAAGGCCATGTATACATAATTCACTGATCTCTTATTGTTGTATAAATTATAATGTTTTGTTAACTTAAAATAAAAAACAAGGCCAGAAACACCCATAAAGTCACATTATAAATCAACCTTAATAGATAAATACAATTTAATACATAAAACATTGAATGACATAAAATTTTGAAAAGACGTTTTATATATAGGCTATATATCAGATCCGTTCATTAGCTCTTAAAGTGACAGCAACCTATAAATACCTGCTTCTGTCTATGCCATTAATGTGAATCAAATAACAAAACACAGCTTGACCAAACATCTATATTTGATTTATCTTAAATGCCATGCAACTTCAATTCTGCTGTGAAATCTGTCTTTAAAGTTGTGTTCAGTCCCTCCCGAGGGTTTATGGGAGTATTAAGCCACAGTCTGCCGGAGCCCCTGGTCATCATAATACAGCGAGATTGCACAGATCGATACGTGATATTCCCGCGGAGTGGAAGATGATGGCGAATAGCATCAGCGCTGTCATATATTCTATAGTTGTTCTGGGAAAGGGGACGTTTGCAGCTGAAGTTTGGGAGTTTGGTGATTAAATATAATGAGCAGTGTTTCCTCTGACTGCTATTAACGGCTGGTTGTTAGTCTGAGGTGATTTCTTTGATCTAAAGGCAAATGAACACTGAGTTATGTGTAGCTTTTAGTGGAAATCTCCTGTGTGTGTCAGACTGCTGTGGATCAATAACAGCTCCTGGACTTGCAAAGGTAGAATATCCACCGATTCATTGACGGCTGTAGTTTCAATTGTTTTCTGGTGTGTGTGGAATGTGACGAAGTACAAATACTTTGTTATTTTACTTAAGTACATTTTTCACGTATCTTTACTTTACTTAAGTAGAATAAATAGTACATACTTTTTACTTTTACTTTGTTACATTTTGCAGCAATTATTATACTTTCTACTCCACTACATTTCTACAACTTCTGTTACATTTTCATTACATTTTCTGATCAGTTTTTCCCCTGCCAAACGTAATCTGACCGTCCGTTCGTTGCACGTTTGTCTCACCAGTGACGTTTGGATCAACCCGGTCACACTAAATAAAATGCGTCTCGCACGCAGTGCGTTTATCGTACAATTTATACCCGAAAATGTGTTTTTACGTGCATAGGAAATGCACCGTGTGTAATATACGTTTGGTTCAGCCCGTTCTCATCCTTTAACGTCATATAGAACGCTATATGCAAAAACGGCGCTATACTACGCATATGGCACCCTTTATCGTTAATATAACACGCGAACCCAAGACGTTATAAATCCTTTAGCGTGAATGTGACACGCACACCCTACCCCACACCTAAACTTAGCCCTCACAGCGCGTGTTATATTAACGATAACGTGTGCCATGCGCGTAGTATAGCGCCGTTTTGTCATATAGCGTTCTATATGACGTTAAAGGATGAGAACGCGTTGTTTGGTTAGGATTATGGCAAGCCAAGAGGTTCAGAATTACACTATAAATTAATCGCGTTTACTGCCAAACAGAGTTAATAACATATAGTAAGGATAAGCATGATGTGTATATTGCCTAATTCTAAGCTTGTTTCAGAAATGCTGACAACAATTTTTTTTCCATCATTATTGAACATCATTATAGGAGTATTAGGTTGAATGAGTTATGAATTAAAGTGAATGAATTAAATGTTTTATTAATCATTAGAAAATAGTCATTAAAATAATTGTTATGCAAGTACTTTTACTTTTAATACTTAAAGTACATTTAAAATCAGGTACTTTTTACTTAAGTATGGTTGTCATTGTGTTACTTCTACTTTTACTAAAGTAAATATGTATCTGGTTATTTGTACTTTTACTTAAGTACTGAGATTCAGTACTTCCTCCACCACTGGTGTGTGTGTGTGTGTGTGTGTGTGTGTGTGTGAATGTGACTCTAATTGTAATGTCATGATTATATGATATACACATTTACAGCCATATGTTGTCATTACAATTGTTTTTTAAAGTCGCTTATTTGAAAACAGTAAAATTATGAAATATCAATAACATTTAAATATATTTCCATGTGAATATTAACACTGTCTCTTCCCAAGAAGTCATAACTGACGTCTTGGGACGTCTTTTGACCATACATCAATATCCGCATTTTTAGGGCCCCCTTAAACGTCGGTAGATGACGATCCCGGGCCGTCATACAACTGACGCTTTACCTTTAACGTCGGTTAGGTGAGGTTAGGGTTAGGTTTAGGTCTGGGGTAGGGTTAGTAGAGTACGTTTAAGGGGGCCCTAAAAAGGCGGATATTGACGTATGGTCAAAAGACGTCCCAAGACGTCAGTTATATGACGTCTTGGGATGAGACTGCGCTGTGAATATATAGTAAAATGTAATTTATTCCAGAATTTTCCAGTCTTCAGTGTCACATGATCCTTCAGAAATCACTTGCTGCTCAAGAAATATTTCCGATTATCATCAATGTTGAAATCGATTGCGCTGCTTAATACTTTGATCAGTTATGCTGAATTTGCAGTCTTTGTTTTCTTTCTTCACGAGGTTGCTTCACGTCTAAGGCATCTACAGGTGATAGTCTGCAAAAGCAGCTCATTAGGTTTAGCAACAGCTTTATTTCTGTATTAGCCTTTAGCTAGTGTGGATTGAGCACTTAGCATGTCTCTTTCCCGCGTGGCAGCTCATATTCTGTGATCCTCCGACAGCAGGTTTAGTTCCCGTTCGCTCAGTAAATGTCACTAAGCATTTCCCTCGGTGGATTGTCTAAAATCACTGCTCTGAACACGCCAGCGAACCAGCCAATGCCGTCCAGTCGCGTCTGGTGACGGATCAGGGATCAGCGGGTGGCTGGAGCTTTGCTTTTCATGACAGGATGTTCGCGCTTCTACATGTACGTTTGCACAGTTATCTGTCTCTCATTGTGTGTGTGTTTGGACTGGAGCGTGTCTCGCCATCTGCTAGCAGTCATTCACTGTGATGTTTACCCCCTGCTGAAGAGAAAGATACACATGAGTGCTTAGCCTTTGAGGATTCTGCTTCTGTGTGTGTGTGTGTGTGTGTGTGTTCTCGGGACTGTGTGTGTTGGATGTGCTCATGTCTGTTAATTGAGTAAGAGCTTTCATTTTTTAAATTCTAATTAAGGAAAGTTGTAAATCTGTCTCTGAGTGCGAACGTGTGTCCTTATCAGCCGCTAATTATTCTTCCAGCATCAGAGAAGTCTTGATGTGTGTGTGTGTGTGTGTGTGTGTGTGTGGTCTGAGGGTTTCTGTGAACACTTTATAAAGCTCAAAATGCCTGATGAATAACAAATCCAGACATGTTCTCTAATTTTAGCATGTTTATTTTGAGTTTTTATGATCTGAGTCACAGCCACGAGTACAAGATTTTTTTGCCCTTACTGTAATTGTAATAATGTATTTTGTATTTTATTGATGGATTGGATGGATGGATAGATAGATAGATAGATAGATAGATAGATAGATAGATAGATAGATAGATAGATAGATAGATAGATAGATAGATAGATAGATAGATAGATAGATGGATAGATCAGTGGATGGATGGATGGATGGATGGATGGATGGATGGATGGATGGATAGACGGACGGACGGACGGACGGACAGACAGACAGATAGATAGATAGATAGATCAGTTGATGGATGCATGGATGGATGGATGGATGGATGGATGGATGGATGGATGGATGGATGGATAGATAGATAGATAGATAGATAGATAGATAGATAGATAGATAGATAGATAGATAGATAGATAGATAGATAGATAGATAGATAGATAGATAGATAGATAGATAGATAGATAGATAGATAGATAGATCAGTGGATGGATGGATGGATGGATGGATGGATGGATGGATAGATTGCCCGTCTTTGCCCGTTTGACGTCACAGATCCCGCAATATCAAAACAAGCCATTTTTAAAGCTTGATTAAATAAATGCTTTGTTTATAATGAGGAGGATTTCACTGCATGTTTTAATTATTCAAAGACCTCAAGGCAAATCTGATCTCTCGTGTCATGACCCCTTTAAAACAGTTGATTATTAAAGCTATGAGACTGTGAACTCTCAGCTCTGGTCCTTCTCTGATTAACTCTCTTTCTCTCTCTCTCTCACACACACACACACACACACACACACTCAAATTCATGCATATGTGGAGTTTTATGATTGTAAAGGAAAGAAAAAGAGGGAAAACCCTGATTTTTTTTTTTTTTAAACGTTGACGTTTCTATGCTTTTCAATGTCTTGAGACTGTTTTTGAAATCAATTCTGCTCCTTTCTAGCTGCTTTTTGTAGCATTTTACTAAAAATGTCAGGCTTATATCTTTAATGTTTTTGTGAATATAGTAATCTTAAAGTCTCCTTCTCTCTCTCTCTGTTCCCATTTGCTGTGTGTTGTTCTCAGATGTACATCCAGACGACCACCCTCACCATCTCTCTCAGCCTCAGCGCGTCCGTGTCTCTCGGGATGCTCTACATGCCCAAGGTCTACATCATCCTCTTCCACCCGGAGCAGAACGTGCCCAAACGCAAGCGCAGCTTCAAAGCCATCGTCACCGCCGCCACCATGTCAGGGAAACTCGTGCCGAAGGGAAGCGACCGGCCCAACGGGGAGGTGAAGACCGAGCTGTGTGAGAGCATGGAGACCAACAGTGAGTATTTCAGAAAATGAGGGATTTTCCATGACCACTTGGTTTTTAAAGGTTAGGAGGCCACATATAGTGCGAGTTAATAAGCTGAATTAAAAAGACACAAAAACCCAGACTGACTTAAAGGGTTAGTTCACCCAAAAATGAAAATTAATTCATTAATTACTCACCCCCATGCTGTATCAACCCTGTAAGACCTTCGTTCGTCTCCGGAGCACAAATGAAGATATGTTTTATTAAATTTGAGAGCCGAATCCCTACCATAGGCTCTTAACTCTTTCCCCGCCAAACACGGAATTTTCCGGGTATCCGTGTTTTAGGTGGTATACGGTAAGGAAGACCCGCGCGCATGTCCTGAATGAGTGCGCAACTCTTTGATCAGAGAAACAGATTGCAATCGTCTCAAACAGTGGAGTAGTGAGAATGTATCAGACAGACAATGCAGAGGTATATGGCTGAAGTACTGGAGGTTAATGGACTCGGAGTCCGATCACTCTTTATTTGATAATTCTGAATCTGATCGGGACGAAGTAGTCAGTGAGAGAGATGCACATGTTGTCACAGAAAGTTCTAGCCATGGACGTGCCGCAGATAGATCGTATAATATTATGACACTATAATATTTATGTGTGTGTGCAGGCATTTATGTGTGGCTGTCTAAATATGAAGGTGTAATTGTCAAATTATTTCTCTCTTTGTGCACATTTACCACATTGTAATATGTATTTCTGTGTGTGTGTGTGTGTGTGTGTGTGTGTGTGTCTAGGCCTGTTTATTGTAATTCCAATTATTCATTATTCACAGGTAGAACACAGAGAGGCAGAGGCAGAAGTTTTATTGCAAAAGTTACATTTCCCTTACACATCCTGGGAAATTTGATATATTTTACATTTATTTATGTTTTTAATTTATTTTGGAAAGTTTTATATATGAAGGAAACAACATCTGAATGTATTCTGCTTTTAAATGCACTTGTTTGATAAAAATACCTTTTTCTCAGTTTTTTGTCCAAAATGTTGTGTTTTTGACAAAACCTACCTCTGTTCAAGAGGCAATAAAAAAAGTACAGATGAAGATAAAATAAAAACGTTTTTTTTGCCTAAAAGCAGAGGCTCAGATCTTTATTTTTATATATATATATCATCTTCATATATTCATGGAAGAAAATATTCAGCGGGGCATTAAAATTTAGCAAAAATCGTCAAAAACCCTGGCGGTGGCTGGCAACTTTTTTTTAAAACGCTGGCGGGGAAAGAGTTAAGGGAATGACACTTGACGGCCCAGAAAGTCAATGAAGAAATTTTTTTTTAAATATCCCAAGTGACTACAGTGGCTCAACTATAAGTTTATCAAGCGACAAGAATACATTTTGTACACTTCCTTGACATAAGAATACACTTCCTTGTTGGCCTGAAACGAGACTTCAATACGATTTCCATGTGCGAGAACTGAACTGAAGTAGTTGAAGGAGATCGCAATTCTTGCGCATGCGTCGTGGAAATCGTATTGAAGTCTCGTTGTGAAGTCTATATTCACTATGTGGTAGTGATTCGGCTCTCAAATTTAATAAAAAATATCTTCATTTGTGCTCCGAAGACGAACGAAGGTCTTACATTAAGGTCTTAATGACTTAATTTTCATTTTTGGGTGAACTAACCCTTTAATGAATTCCCGGTGCTTTACATGACAAGTGGTTCATTTATTCATTCGCTCATGGCAAATGTTAAAGGGAAAGTTCACTTTGAAATTAATTTTTGATATGTTTTATCTTATCTCAAGGGCATCCAAGATGTAGGTGTCTTTGTTTGTGCAGTAGTTTCAATTTTGATATTTTTAGGTCAAACCGTTCTTGTCTGTCAGTCATATAATGGAGGTCTATGGTCACCACCTCAAAGAGAATGCGCAGAGAAGTCCAAATTAAACATGATTTAATGACTCGTAAATGATGGCCTAAGACACGAAACGAGCGGTTTGTGTGAGAAAATGAACAGTATGATGTCCTTTTTTCTTTATTTTCAAAAAGTTTTTTAGCTTTGAATCGAATGCTGTGATTGATCTCGCGACTGGTTGGTTTGGTTCAAGGCTTAAAGCTTTTGGTTGAAGTTTATTTAAATGTAGAAAAGGATGCTTTGATAATCCAAGTCTGCTGTAAACGTGTTTCTGCTCTCTTAGAGTCACATTTATCTCCAGATGTTTGGTAAATGCTCCATCTGCATGTTGAACAGCTGTTTACTACAGACTGGTAAACTTAACCAAACACAAGACCAAAAGTTTCCCGCTGAGATGTTTGCCGGAGGAAGACAGGCAGAGTAAAGCGTGACATCAATGTCCCCGGTCTGATTAGCATATCCGACTAGCTGCGGTATTTGCCAGCTTGATCAAAAAAAAAATTGGCTCTTTTTTATTTATTTATTTATTTTTTTATTTTTTGTTCTGCAAAGTGCGGGATTATGGAGTGTTGAAAATTTAATCACTCAGAAGTGATCCAAGGCTTTGTGGGGAAGTAAGCCTGTTTTCAGTCATCAAGCCAATTACTTTGTGCTGTGGGTGATGCTTTGCCTTCTGAAATATTAACTCAAGTGTCAGTATCAAGACCTCCCAAAACTAAATTAGGCAAGTTTTTATTCGATGCTAGGCCATTTTGCCACTTATATTTGGTAAAGCGAGGATTTGGAGGAGGGAACGGGAAATGCGGGGATTCATTTCAGTGAATCTTGTGAATCCGTTCACCTAAATGATTTATTCTGTAACCCTTTTAAATCTTTACATCAGTAGATAGGCATTACGTATGTGTGTTTGTGTGTTATTCATTCAAGAGATTTGTCTTTCATGATCTAAACAAGACTTTATTAATTCAAGTTTAATAGTGTTTATTAAAAGAAGACACTGAATCGAATGGAAAAGTAACCAAAAGATTCACTAATAGACATATTTAAACTGGTTTGCATGAGAATATGTTTGACTTTAAAAATAAAATGGCAACTAGAATTTTTTTCGTTTGTTTTGTTTTTCCATTTAATTTTTGGCCTTTTTGACACATTTATGACCAGTTCTGTATATTTACAACAGAACAAAAATAAAATGAATATAGATGGGAATAGATGAAAGGAAAAAACAAAGGCAAAAAAATATATATACACTGTTAGACCTTACCAGGTTTTTTACAGTAAAATACTGGCAATTTACTGTAAAAATGCACTAAAACTCAAGTTAACTAAAAAATACAACTTATTAGTTTTAGTGCATTTTTACAGTAAATTACTGGCAACAGTGTTGCCAGTATTTTACTGTAAAAAACCTGGTAAGGTCTAACAGTGTAGAGAGAAATTAAAAATGGAGAGGGTGAAGAGTTAAAATGGCTATTGCATGTTTAATTGTATAAATAAAAACATTACCGATCCCAAACTTGTAGATAAAATTGCACAAGAGCAGTGAGCGTAAAACAATGGAGGCGGGCGCCTGAAATGCACACGCAGTGACTGAGAGTGAATGAGATTCTCTAATGTGTTTTCCCCTCCAGCAACATCTTCCACCAAGACGACGTACGTCAGCTACAGCAATCATGCCATCTGAAGAGGGACACTCTCTGTGGGCGGAGCCGAGGGCCGGCCCGTCTGAAGCGGGACGTCTGTCATGTGACATGCGCTGACCTGGAACGGGCATCTGAGCATGAGATTTGTATATCGTTCTGCATCAATCTAAAACCCGCAGCATCCTGGGAGACGAACGGACATACGGGACCTTCCAGCGAGACTGCGTTCAAGAGCTACCGAACCTGCCATGAACACACACGTGAAAACAACGCACACACTCACAAAAATGAAGGTGAAGGCTTGCATTCATACGAAAAAATAACTTCCCACAAATAATCGTGTAAACATTCTGCAGATGGAAACGTTCACGGTTAACTTTGGAAATGTGGATGTGTAAAAAAAAAAAAAGAGAGAAAATATATGAAAACTAACAGAGTCGAAATATGTTTGTTGTTATTGTATTTTTGTGGTCGTGCAGATTTTTTCATTCTTGTCCCACTTTGTCAGAAACCTGCATTCTGAGATGACGTGTCTTGTATTGGCTGACTGAACCGTAACGCGGGGTTGTGAAGCTGTAAAATGCCATGGTGGAAGCATGCTAGTTTTTATACCAAAAAAAAAGATTTATTTATAATAAAGGAATGTTTTGCAAATGTGTAGCGTTGTTAGATGTGTATTTGATGGTCAGATTTGGTTCTTGTTTCTCTCATTCACAAAACTCAAACTCTGTTTTCCAGCTCTCGATCCCATGTAAACCCAGTTTGATTGGAGAGTTTTCAGGTTTGCTATGGTCTCGATCACCTCAGACAAATATTAAGCATGAGCAAGGGCAGATTTACAGTAGCATCGTCAAATAACATAAAAAAAAATCAGGAAATTGTGATCTGAGTCTCATTTTCTTGTCCTTTTGCACATGCAATTCCTATAAAACTGATTTTTAAAAATCCTCATTTAGTATGGAGCTAATAATATGACAAAATTATTTTAATTTGAATTGTGTTTTGACGCATTCTAACCCAACATGTATGTATAATGTTGAAGGGGTTTTTTTTTGTTGATCCCACAATTTTAGGTGTTTAAGTAGTTCTGAATTTGATGGGTTTTTTTAACGAATATTGAACAATTGAAATTTAACCAATTGAATTTTCATTCTATTTTCAAACAAGCTAGATTTTTCACAAAATCATTCATGTTTAAGAATCACTCCGGGCGATTCGTGATCAGAGTCAGAGAGTGGCAACCTCTTGAACCACCACCACATTACTTATGCAGTCCCTAATTGGCCAAAATGCTCCGTTCGACTTTTCTAAGATCATCTGCTCTTCCCTGTGGATGACCTGTGACCTACTTTCTGTAGGACCTCAATTTTTGAGATTGAGTTTTAGAAAACTGATTTTGAAGCTCTGAATCTTGAAAACTTGAATCTGTTTTTTTTTAACTGCAAATTTGCAGAATTTGAGTTCAGAATAAAAAATCTAGCTGTTTGAAAATACACGTCTATAATATTCAATTTGTTAAATTTGAAATGTTCAATATTTTAAAAAAAAATCTAATTCACAACTATTTAAACTACCACCTAAAATTCAATTTTGTTAGATTACACTTGAAAATAATTCAAATTTAGACAATTCAAATTCAAATAATTTTGTCATATTATTAGCTCCATAATTCAGTGATCATGAATGACTGGAAAAGTCACAGATTAATTCGCCGAATAATGTGGCATCAACACAAAAATACCCTTAAAACTTCAACATTATACATACATGTTGGGTGAGAACGCGTCAAAATGCGAGTCTTTCGAGAATAGTAATTGCAACTAAAGCATTCCTCTGATGCGAAAGCCCATATAGATCTGAGCTGATTATGAAAGAATAATCCTAACAGAGTTTCTTTATTTAAAGGTTTCGCAGCGTCTTTTTTATGGAATGCCAATAAAGAAACCCCCTATTACATTGGAAATGCATCAGTTTTACAGCTAAAATAACTCTCTGTTTATACAATATGAGCTTCACATTTCTGCTATTAAACTTCCTGGAATGTCTTCCCCTATAGATCGACTCAACCGCACGGATTATGAGATAATAATCCTAAGTTTGTTTGTTTAACGGTTTCGCAGGGTTTCGCAGCAAGCTCTTTATGGGACCATCGATGCCAATAAAAAAATAAACTAAAAAGCAATTACATTGGAAATGCATCGATTTTACAGCTAAATAACTCTCTCCATATAATGAGCTTTCAGCCTTGCACCAGATGTCCTCCACTTGATGAACGACTGGGCTGATTATGAAACACTGATCTTGAAAAGAGTTTATTGTTAAACTTGACAGAGCGTCTGTGTCTGCATATCTCCAGCAGTGTGTGTGAGACGACCTTGGCTCGAGTCCTGACTGACAGCCCAGCGCCTGTGGCACGAGCACCTCCGCTCTTGTGGATGATAGAGCAGGTGTTGAGTGAAACTCGAGGCTGACGGTTTGCCCCGTGGACTAATCCCTGATATCTCCACCAAGCTAATTGAATTACTTTGCCCCCCGTATAAACGAGATTCAGAGAACATCCAATCTCACGTCCGCCTCGCTCACACTTAGATAAGGCAGTCAGGGAGTAAAGAGGCAGATGTCGTCTCGGTAAGACCAGAATCAACACGCTCGTCTTTTGGAGGGATGCGGTTGCCATGGCAGCCTGACAACTGTTGTCTTCAGACCTTGATCTCCTCTGGGTTTTCTCTAAGGCCATTTTCACACTCGATCTGATGCTTGATATGAAACTGGCACAATGGCATGCAATCGACATCTGGTTCCTTAATATTTTGTTATTAAAAGCACCTGAAGTGGTGATGGTGATGGAAAAAGTATAAGATGGGAGTAAAAAATACATATTTAATGCTTTTGTGAAAGTACACTCTTAGAAAAAAAGGTTTCATATATGTATAGCATAGGGTTCTTTACTCAACTCCAAAGGACATTTTATGCTAAAAAAAGGTTCAATAATGACACACTTTTGGCACAAAAGTTCTTTATAGGCTATTATTCATTCATATATTACATTATTCTGCAACATTTTGTAGTTGTAATTAAATTATTGTTTATTAAACTGTTGTTGTAACTTAATATCACATTTAATCATGCAGATTTTTGGAGGATAAAAAACTGAAATGGCGCTCTTCGTGTGATATTGATTAATTGCATTTTTTAATGAATCTTGAATTTTGTGATCATTCGCATGCATTGCATTTTAGGGGTTCCAAATACGTAACGCTTTAGAACCTTTTTAAGGTTCTATATAGAACCTTTTCTTCTAAGAGTGTAGCTCAAAGTTGAGAGAGATGCAAAAAAAAGGTGCACTAATAAACTTTTATCCAAAAATGCATATGCACAATAACTAAACCATTATGATACTCTAGTCTATTCAAAATTATTCCAGTGGGAATGTTTCCCCAAGCAGAGAACTGTGGATTCAGATAAGTTTATCTTTTCTTTCTGTCTTTCCTCCTCAACTTTTCTTCTCTCCCGACCCGTGGAAAGCTTTTTCTGTGTGTGTTAGTTTTGCCTAATAAGATTTAGCTACAGTGAAAAACAGAATAATTTTGAGTCGGAGCGCCGTTTATTGTTTGCGGGACCCAGAAAGTCCGTCCCCAAAGGAGGATGAGGCGGGAAGTAAGTTTAATCTCCAGTCTTCCAGCTGCCAGATAGACACAATTGCACCCGAACATGAACGTATGATATATTTTGTCAGTTGTTATATGAGACATAATCTCTCCGGGGAACCATGAACTTATGAGTTAGAGAAGCTCCAAAAGCCCATGCAAAACACTGCGTTTACTGTCTTGACATTCATCTTTATCTCCTCCACCATATTCATTTTTTTTAGATTATATTTAAAATGTAAGATTAAAGTTTAAAAATCCACCATTTACTTTTTACAATAATATAATTGTTTGCCGGTGCCTTCACCGTCGGCCGGAGTGACTGCGGTTAAACACACCGAGTGGCAGAAACACTGATTGCTTTTCATTGTAAATGTCACGAAAAACACACAAGAAACATCTAAAACAGAAAAGAGCTTTGAGATTGACTAAATAAATAGATTTGATAAGAAATCTGAGATATAGTTTTACAGACTGCTGAATTTTGGGGTAAAATCATACCCTATATTGTTCAACAACTCATCAATTAAATATTTATCATCGTATATTCAGCAAAATTGGATGTTTTTAGATAAACACTGACAAAAACTACACAAGTTTTAGGGCTGGATGATGTGATGACAAAGCATTGATATAACGGATCACATGGATTTATATTTTATATTTATATAAACTTTCACAGGCTTTATTTCCCCGGCATTGAAAACATGCACATAAAAATGCCTATAAACGCGTGTCAATATCCACGGATCACTGGATCTTTGAAACACTATATCGAGTCCAACCTTTAGTTTAAACTGATAATCGTTAGTTTTACTCATGTTTCCTCTATTAAATCCAGCTCTTCTGCCACTAAATTTGCATAGTGAATTCTGATTGGCCTACTTCATTGTATTTATTTGCATATTCTTGGGTTTGTTCCTCATAATCTTGAATCAGAATAACTTTCCCTCCTCTTGCAGTGAGTGACATCATCTCTTCTCTGATGACGAGGGCGGGGCTTAACCTGTCACTCACATGAGATCAGCCAATAGCAAACCACAACCATCCCATCAATTCCCCACAGACACAATCAAGCCCCGCCCACATTTGCTCTTGTTCCAGAAGCCGTTTCACTCAGATATACATCAAAATAGAGAATAAAAGACTAGCGCAGTTTCCATTTCATGCTGACTTTAACACTTCAGTTTTACTGCCTTCCGTCACGAAACCCAGGGTTTTATTTGAGTTAGTATTGCTCTAAAGCTCCTCAGTCTTGTTGCTCTGTTATTTTTTCACAGCTTTGTGATTTCTCTCCCTAGGCTTCGGTACAAGAAAGCGAACATATGAATGACTCCAAAACATTTAGAAAAACACCACACCTGAGACACGCGAGCTGTCAGAAATGCCATTGCTGTCAATCATCCCGTCTCCATGAATGCCGTCGAGACGGAGGCGCTACTGGTGCTTCATCTGGTTAATTACGATCGGAGCACTCGGGATTTTACGGCGTGTGAACACACACATGCTGCCTGAGACAGGAGCGCACTGAACCAATGCCTTCTCAAAACCATCATTAACTCTTATTAATTCAAATATAAGTGCTTGTGTCTTAAAAATATAACATTTTACATTCCTTTGCATGATAAGTTAGTGTTTCATAACCATTTTTTACTGTATAAGAATTGTTCTTATTTCCTATGTTCTGTTTCTGAAGTCTTGAGTTTCTTCTGGGAATGAACACGTCATTATAGTCCTCATTATAATAATTAATATGCATAATAAAGGGGCGGGGCCTGGTGGAGTTAGTTAGTCGTGTGTTAAACTGGTGGTTATGGGGGCGGGACATTTCCCAAACACACTCAAAGCGCTCAACCAATCACAACACACTGATCCAGCTGACCAATCAGAGCACAGTGTGCTTTCAGAAGGAGGGGCTTCATAGAGACAGGAACTAAACAGAGCGTTACTGACAGACTGGGAAGAGAGGAGCCACAAAATAAGAAAAATAATGTGTTTTTGCATGAAAATC